GTAAAGTGGTCTATTCGTCCAGGACGAAAAATACTAAGGAAGGGGCAGTGTTACGACAGCGGAAGTCACGTGACGGTGGTAATACGTCATGAGATTCTCAAAGGATCTTGACTTTTCCTGGCAACTTTAGTCTTTTCTAGGTGCCCTCTTTTTTGTATATAAGCCCATTAAATAAAGTGGAGATATAATTGCAGATAGACAGATATAGATATGGATAATTGAGTCAAGTGAGCTGTAGGCACCATAAGTAAAGTGCGTGGATCATTGTGAATTATAGCATGTGTTAAGTTAAATTGACTGTGGAAATTATGTGTATTGCAAAGTTGTATTAAGAAAGAATAAATTAGTTTTAATGAAGAAAGAACTCGTATCGCCGAAGTTCCTCGGGAAGAATTTATACCGGAAATTAACAAACGACCAGATACGTAACAATAACCTTTGTCCTTCAGTGGTTGTATAAAGTGATATCCAGAACATACAGCCCTACCTTTTGTGTATTAAGAATTACCGGCCACGTGTTAGCACATGTCGTGCTGGGTATAAGTGAAGTTTCTTCGAACTTAAGAAACTTTTAATTAGACAGTCTGATAGATAATCTTATGTTTAAAGCATCAGAAAGAAGGTCCAACGTGATAAAACTATAAATACACATTATCTAGTTGTTCTCTCAGGCATAAACTCAATCAGTAAGAGTTTTAGCAATAGTCCGCAATATTTCTGTTTAGTGGCCTTATCTAGTAAAGCACTAGAATTAATTCACTTAACCTGGATATACCACAAATTGATTCGTAAATACTCAAATGTGTTGATTTTTGTTAGTCTCGAAATTTTATTAGATTAAACTAAATTATCAGTGCTATATTTATATCAAAGTGTACCCTTGTACAAATGACATATTTTTCGAATTTAATTTTTAGCTCTACAACCACTAAGTATAATATTGTTACGTCTCCGTTAGTTAATTAACTTTCCGTAACTTCGTTCCGACGAAACATTAGCGACACAAGTCCTTACTTAGTAAAACTGATTTATTCTTTCTGAATATAACTTTACGATACACTTGATTTCAACATTCGCGCTAAAACAAACGCTATAACGAACTTCAACAATACTCTCTGACTGCAGATCAATTACTCACTACCTACACACATTGTTACGTTGTGAGCGTCTTATATATATACCAGACTAACATATATCTAGCAAATTCTAGGGCATTCACGAAGGTACAGGATAGTTCTAGAAACGTGGCGTGACATTAGTCACGTGACCTCGCTGACGCAACAATATTGTTACGACTGCGTGACTGAGTTTCTCGAATTTTCAGGGATGCTCGAGTGTGATCGAAACGCTTCTTTGTTAGTATATAAGCCTGGCAGAGAAGCCAGCGATAGATAAATAATTAAAGAAGCGAACAGTACTTACGGTAATATTAATTGTGTGTTTGTACTCATCGAGAGTGAAGTCATCGTAATCGTGAATCGCTGTGATTTATAGCGTGTATTATAAAAGTTGTTAAGTTTAAAGTGACGAGAAACGTACTGATTGTGGAACTACCACGTACAAAAAGTTTGTATCGAACAAGAATAAACTACCGGGAATTAACAAACAAGCAGATACGCAACAATATTAAAATAAATGTTAGTAAAACTGTAAGTGGATACTATTTTATGTTTTAAATTTAATTTGTACTTCAGTGGCTTAGCGGTAGTCTTCTGGACTTTTAACACTTTAAAATTTGGAGTCTGTTCCCGCAGCAGACACAGCTCAAATAGTCGATTTTGTAGTTTTACGTTAAAACACACAGATAAATAATAAAATAAAATCAAAATTTTATACACAATTAATAACATTTTTTATGTCATTTTAACTTTATGCTATTTACCGGGAGATGTCACTTACAATATTGATTACCAAAATGGCAGGGACGGAAAGGGAAGCTATTCAAAAACAAATCCAGCATGATTGGGCCAATAGAGAGTATATAGAAATTATATCTGGAAACATTAAGAAAATAGCGGATTTTTTGAATTCTTTCGGTATTTAAAACATTTCGAAGTTTTATTCAGTGTTTTTCAAAAATTAATTAATTGTTTTGATATTATACTTATACTTTATAAATTATACTATAACTTAAATATAAGACTAGTAATCTTGGCATTTGGTACAAGTACTATAAGTTATAACTATAAGACTTGGGCTAGGTTGGGGCGTAGGTCTAACATATTGCAAACGGAAAATGTTTGCAATGTTGTGGGTAATTTATTATTTCTACTATTACTACTACTTGAACAAGATCTTTAGACTTAGACTTCTAGATTATTGGGTACTTGAATTTAAAATAGTATAAATACTGTATCTTGCAACACTGACACTAGACTAAATGAACCAAAGCATTTCTTTCGTGTATAGCTATTTTCAGTTGCATATTAGGAGAAATCTTAAAATAATTTAGAAGCTATTTCAGAAAGTTAAGTTTTCAGTTGATAAGTAATTTTAAATTGCACAGTTACAGGCACAACTATTGTTTTCTTGTCATCTCACGGTTTTCAGACATTGGGCTTCATGCCAATTGTAAGTCAAAGGGACATGATCTTTACATTACTTAATGGTACAGTATTTCAATTTCATTTCAGTGTGGTCGATTTAAGCTTAACCTATTCACTGTGACTAAGATGTATATTTCCCAGTACACTGGGAAATATATGTCCCAGCTGCAGTGAAAGGGTTAAGGCAACATCATTTTAATACAAAAATAAATTGTCTTGTCGCATTTAAACTGGCCATCAACATGTATATAGCCTTGCTATGAAGACAAGAACATGAAAATAGTAGTCATATTATGACCTTTCATGGTTGAGAAGAACATATTTTTTTTCTTTTAACAATGTTACAGTAAAACAAAACTTAGTTGTGATCCTTTGGAATTGAAAATTTTATTGTATTAAACCAATTTTAGGCTTCCTCTGTGAAGCTTTCTTCTGAAAAATGTCTAAACCAGTTTTATTGGAGAGCAGTAATCTTAAACCAAATGAAAGGAATCTTTGTACCAGTTTTGAGCTTCAGCATTCACACCTAGTTTTTATATAACTGTATAATTCATTTATTAAACTACAACTTTTTAACATTTTGTTATTTAACTGATATATAGTTTAACAAATCATTTTACAATTTGACAATTCTGCTATGTAAAACATATATGATTATTTGTATAGCTTTGCAGGAGAATTTGTAAGGGAAGTTGAAAAGAAATGATTTTTATTTTCAAGTCTGAAGCCTTCTGAACAATGTATGTTAACTATAGTAACACAGCAAACATGATTTTAGATGGTTTATATATATAAATATTGAATACAGGTTGAAGAAACTCATCCTATAAGGTGCTGGTTTGTTCTCATTTGAAATATTCTGTTCAGCTTTAGTCACTTCTTAAGAAGGATGTTGAGTTGTCAAAAGGGTTCAGAAAAGAGATTATTACAGACATGGAGGGCAATATTTTTGTTTAGAGATAGGTTGAAATTTCTTGACATCTTTTCATCAGACAGAATGGTTTGGAGGGATGTGATTTCGGTTTTTTAAATTGTTAGAGGTTTAGAACTTATAAATCCAGAAGATGTTTTAAAAAGGTTTCAAGGCAGTAAGACTAAAAGACATAAGTTTAAGATATTGAAAATTCTGATGTGGCTCTAGTAAAGGTAGTGTAAATTTTCTAATAGAGTAGTTGACTTGTAGTTTTCTTTAAGGTGTGGTAAGAGCTGCAAAATTGAAGGAGTTCAAGAGGAGATTGAACAATTATTTTGGAGATAAGGGTTAATTAAATATAAAAAAGTTTTTTTTATATAGTTTGGAGTAAAGTTGTTGTAAAAAGTGGTATAGCTTAAATGGGTCAAATGACCCATTATTATTATTATTACGTGAAAATGAAATCACCTGCCTTCTCACATTAGTGATTAATAAGTAGTATTTTAATATTTATTGTGCCTTTAATTAAAAGCTCTTTTCTTTACCATTTCTTACTAAATAGGGATATCACATTCCTATAAACCTTCTGTTTTTTGCATTAAAGCCAGCTTTTAATTTATATAAATTTTGCTTCCAGTTCTGGTAAAATCTAACTTACTAATGAACTAATTGTGAGGACTTATATCAAAGCCTTCTGGAAGTCTAAATAAAAAACACTAGGATTGCCACATGAATATCTCTGATGATTTTCGTCATGTTTGAAAGTAAGGTTTAAAAAAAGTCTTTGTAAGTAAAATAAAGAATAAAGTGTGTTACATTCATACCTGAAACATATTACTTTTCAATAAGGAGCTGTTACATCAGATATATAACAGGTACCATTCCAACAAAACACCATCATGTGTACCTTCATTCAGACAAACAAAAGCTCCTCAGTATCAACAAATCCCTTTCAACTAATTTTTGTCTATGCATTATAAAAGTCATGTGACAGAAATTTTGTGTCCCATCTTTTAGGAATTGTGTTCAACTATTTAACTACTGTTTGTTTGTGCAAAATTAATGAAATCCTGTTATTTTATCGAGATACACTTTTCGTCATGTAAACATGATCTTTTGGCTCAAATTTGATACTAGCTGTTAAATGAACCAGGATTTATGCTTTGTCACTTGACCTACAATAAATTACGTTGCTAATTCATTTATTTGCAAATTTTTAGGTAAAGAAAAGTTGATAAATGTGTGATTTTTTAAAATAATTTCACTGCAATTAAACCTAAAGGGCATGAAATATATTGTTCACTGATTTTAAGAAATACATCTTGTTTGGTTGTTTGCACACATGTGGGAAGCACATGTGTATTTATTATAGTCAACAGTGCTATAAACAGATACATTTTCAAGCTAGATATCCTTTAAAATGAATAATTAAATTGCTCACCAGAATTTAAAAAAAAAGCTGAATAAAATTTAACATTAATTTTATCAAGTCTGATTTGTAATCTGTAGAACTGTTGTTTTCATACAAATTAGTTTTTTTTTTAACTGAATTTGAAAATATTACTTTAGTTAATAATTGAATATAAAATTTGAACACATGATTGGTAGATCTTGTTTTCATTAAAATATTTTTCAATTCTTAACACTTAGATTTATATATTATTTTGCAATTTTGATTTATGTTTGAATAAGAAATATATATATATATATTTAATGGCAAATTTTTGGATCGTATCAGTTGTAGAGCTTGTTTTTTGTATTTATGTAAAACATAATTCCAGGATTTTCATTACAAAATAAGTAATAATGGATTATCTTGATGTTCATTTTCAGTCATATTTTATTAAAAGTGAATAAAAAAAAGTAAAAGTTTAAGAGTTAATAAAAAGCTACAATTTAACAGTAAAACACTATAAAATATCTTCATTGATATTGCTCACTTTAAAAAACACTTGGATCATGTGTCTTAAATGAAGTTATTATGCATATTTAAAGTTAGAACTTGCATCTTTCTGCAGTTGTGAAATATTTTGATGCACGTTTATAGTTGAAATGTTTGATGTCAAGTACTTCGATTAGAATAATCACCAAGTCTTTGCTGTGTTCTGCAATAACACCTTCCCTGTCTAGAAAGGGCTAAGAAACATTGTATATTATAAATGAATCCTTTTCCCATTTTTGAGTCCGATGAACAAAGAACAAGTTTTTTTTTTTGCATCCTATTGTTTTATTTTATGTTTAGGATGCAAATTTTTGCATAATGTGATTACTAAGTTTGAGAGACAATAAAACCCTGTACTGTAGTCATTTTGAGAATTTTGTAATGAAATGACAACTTTCAGAGCTCTTTTTTTGAAAGTAATCCAATTTAATGGATTCCAGGAGCTTTTCAACAATAGAAGTGTGTCGCACTGACTCATAATATTTAGATATTTCTTAGATCCCTTCATTTAAAAAATTGTCACATTGGCTGCTTTTAAATCAACATGAATTTTTCACAAGAAATTGTGTTCATTATCCATAAAAATAGAAAATTTTTTAATGTCCTTGCAAAATTAGACATATGCACAACAAGACACATAGTAAATTAATTCATAAAATAAAACTATCTTGTACTTAATACTCCATTATCAAAAATAACACAAGTTTGAGAAACTGTGATGATAATACTTCCTTATGTGAGTACTTGAAATTTTGCTTTTAAAAGTGCAATTTTTAAAAACTTCTGGAGCCTAACACAGTTTTGATAAGTAATGAGGTTTGTTTAAAGCTAGCAACATTAGAAGAGATGCTATTATGGTATTCAGAATCACTGCTGCACAAAAGATAGTTATAAATATCTGTAAAATGCATACCATGGAACTGTTATGTAGAAAATAAAATGATCATGGGCATCAAAGGAAAGTGAAACAAACCCAAGTGTACAAATAATACCTGTATTTATGCAACAATAAGTGTGAGTGTCACCTTTAACTCAACTGGTCAGCTTCTAATTCATTGTTTATCTCAACTGGTTGCTGGGGCAGAGGGGGAAATGATCTTGCAAGTTTACGTTGGCCAAAGACAAACACCAGAATTATCACTGTTAAGAGAGACCAAGCTTCTAGTGCAACTTCTCACTATATTTTGATTACCTACTTCAATAAGGGAGATAAACTTCGTACTTTCTGTATGTCCTCACTCCATAAGGGCATGACATAGAGCCAAGCAAGCATAGCTGTATGGAACAATCATCATGGTGTGCTATCCTTGTCTAAGATAGAGCTTCAGTGCAAGCATATAGTCTCCACATCTGGTTTACAATCATAAATGATGGAGGTTGGATCATATTTTTTTGATAAAATTGAGGGTGGTTGGTGATACCAGATTTTTATTTTTTCAGGAAACTATCATGCCCACAACTAGCTATAGATGGTGAGTGGTGGTATCTGGGACACTGTGGATTTTTGTACCCAGATCCTAACCCCATATTGAATCTTTAGCTTGATCTCTAGTTTTGCATCTGTTGTTTTCATTGTGTCTGATAGATGGAATATTCCTACTGCTTTTGGGTGCTATGGCTGTTGACATTTCCACATTAATATGATAAGGTTTATACTTTTGTATAAATGGTATAATTTTACATTGTTTAGGTACAGTTTTGCTGTTACAATCATGTATTTGTTGGCATATATATCGGTAATAAAAAAAAATGTTTTACATAATTATCTCATCAGGGCTGTTCAGTGCTAAGTCATCACCTGTACATCTTTGATGTAATGCAAATAATTGTGAAATATATATATATATATATATATATATATATATATATATATAGTAGTATTTCTTCGTTCGTTACCCGTACCTAACTACTTACGTTATTAAGTACCTACTTAGTTAGTAGACGACGATATATTAGTTTCGTT